ATGATTCAGTTCTTCGAATGCATTTGTAGAAGGAAGACCTTTGACATGATTAGCGATATTCATTGCCTATCTCAGAGAAAACGTTAGATGAATGTCTACATATTGTATATAATATTTACTAACCACTTTTTAGGTTACTTGACCCAACGTTAGATTAAAAAAGAAATTAAATTTTAAAGAACAAAAACAAAAGTTCATTGTAAACTTCAAAAGTTTTAATTCATCGGACAACATTTTTGGATCTTCATGATTATAAAAAATATTATTTTCCGTCGTCCGTCCATTTATGATCAATTTAAACACCCTCAAAATCATTGATTAATGACCCCTATTAATGAATGATTTTCTATTAATGAATGATTTCATTATAGGCAACACAACATACAGTGCTTGCATAAATTAATTAAACCACAGTGACCTGTGGTGTAGGCAACCAAACATATACCTATTTATATTCCCAGAAAAAAATTTAAAATGAAGTATCCGCTGTTAGTACTATCTGTCATTGTATGTCATTATTTTATTAATTGTTCAAAATTCTATGTATTTGAAAAATCAAAAGATGGATATTGACGAAGAGTTTAATTCAACTTCACTAGAAGTGGCAGAATCTGCACTGCAGAAACTGAAATATCTTGATTAGCACATTGATTAAAATCAAACATTGATAAGTATATCTAGATATAATAAGTTAAAAAATCAAACATTGATATATCTAAATATAATAAGCTAATTATGTTTATCAAGAAAAAAAGAACAGGTTATGTACCAAAGAAATCAAAAACACTTGAAAAAGAACAAGTCCAGAAATTCACTTCTGATGCTCCTAACGACTTGTTTTTAATGATAAAGGTAAACCACTAAATTAAGTTTATATATTTAATACTCGTATTTCATAACATTTTATTTTGTAGGTTGCATTCATTGTCGAAGTGGCTGGTGCGTTAAGAAAGGACCAACTATTTAAATTAGAAACAAATAACGTTCAAGATTTGGAGTCAAAATTTCTTGTCACAATAAATGTATCAAAAACACACACAAATAGAATATTTACCATAGAAGATAACTAAGCAAATATCATTGTCAATGTAATCAAAAACTATATTTCTTTAAGTCCGGCACACACACCACATAAACGATCTTTCATTTTTTATTAAAATAACAAATGTTTCACGCAACCAGTTGGCATAAACTCGATTTCCAAAATTCCTGCCGTTATTGCTAAATTTTTAAAATTAGAGCACCCGCATCTCTACACTGGGCATTGTTTTAGTCGTTCCTCTGTCTCAATACTGTGTGACAGTAATGCAGACTGTTCAGCTATTAAAAGACTAGGTGGCTGAAAATCAACTGCTGTAGCAGAAGGTTATATTCTAATAAAACAGCAATTTCAATTAAAAATAAATCAATAGAAAACAACATTGTGTTTACAAAAGCAGATAAAGGTAACACTACTATTGCTATAGATAAAATAGAATATAATAACAAAACAATAGAATTCTTAAATAATCAAAATATTGAAACTTTACACAAAGATCCGACAGAAAAATATCAAAAACAAATTAAGCTAGCGTTAGAAAATTCAAAATCAATACTAAATCCAATAGAACAGAAATACCTCAATATTATAAACCCACAGCCTCCTAAATTATACTCTTTCATTAAACTACACAAACCGGATCACCTAATAAGACCTGTAGTTAATTTTTATATAGCTCCGTCATATAAAATTTCAAAAAAACTGTTAGAGATTATTTTAGAACACACCAAATTTTCACCTAAATTTACCATAAAAAATACAATAGAACTCGTTAATAAAATACAACATTTTCAATTACCTAACAACTCCAGATTAATTTCATTTGACGTAAAAAATATTTTTCCTAGTATCCCTCCTACAGAAACTTTTATTCTAGTAAAAAACCTTTTAGACCAAAATAGTACAAATCCAATAATTACATCTGAAATCTTACATCTTCTTGAAGTTTGCATAAACCAGGACTACTTTGAATTTAATAATAAAATATATACAAATAACAGTGCAGGACTTATAATGGGTAATCCTATAAGCCCATTGCTATCAGATATTTTTATGGATTATCTAGAGACAAAGATTTCAAAACATCCCGTATTCAAACAGTTTTTATATTGGTGGACATACGTAGACGACGTACTGGTATGTTTCACAGGAACTAACAGGCAACTCGAACAATTTTATCGTATATTAATTCACTTCATAGTCATATTGAATTTACAATAGAAACAGAACAAAATCAATCCATAAATTTTTTAGATTTAAAAATTAGCAGACTTCAAAACAAACATGACTTCTCCATATTTCATAAACCTACCCATACTGACACGACTATACGCAATTCGTCATCCCATCCAACACAACATAAACTGGCAGCTTATCATAGTGTGTTACATAGATTAACAGAAATTCCGATGTCAAAATACAACTTTGAGACAGAATTAAATATAATTAACCATATAGCAGTAAACAACGGATACAACGAACAAACAATTAATAAAATGTTAAATCAAAAACTACACAAGAAAGCCCTGAAATTAGTACATCCACCACCAGAGAAAAAACCTAGTATCTTCTGCTCGATTACATATACAGGCAAAATAACAACAAAAATTGCCAAACACATAAAAAAGAAAGGAATAACACCAGCTTTCCGAACAGATAAAAACCTAGGCAAATATATTAAAAATAACAAGAGACAAAATAAACAAACACTTAAATCGTGGTGTGTACAAACTTCAATGTGGCGACTGCCCAAAAACTTACATCGGTCAAACTGGTAGAAACTTTGATAAACGAATAGAAGAACATAAAAGGGCTTTTAAGAATAGAAAAACAGATTCGACATACGCACTTCACCTTCTAGATCATAATCATTCTTTTAATGACAAATTTAAAATTCTTCAAATTCAAAATAAAGGGCTTAAGCTATCTTTGTTAGAATCTATGGAAATCAACAAATTAAAAAACACAGATATAATTCTGTGTTGTCTTTTTCATTAGAGACTATAAATTTATAGACCCAAGCCAAAATAGATCACTTGAGAAAGGCAATCAGCCGAAACAGCTGTAGTGATAATATTTAAAGTAAATTTTGTGGAAATTTGAAAACAAAGTTTTCAGTATTTTATTGTTACATAAAATAAATTTCCATCATGTAACGGTCGAATCCATCAATTGTTTCAATTTCCACTTTGGAAATCGTTCTCAAAATACAAACTAATGTTTGTATTTTGAGAACAGAGTGTACCGGATAAGAGAAATAGTCACACGAGCAGGAATGTATTCAAATATAGTTACCACTTATACCCAACGGATATTCTAAAGAGCCATTATTGGAAAGTAAGTCACAAATCAATAAACACAAGCTTAACAACAATATTAAAAAAACAAACTATAATCAAGTTAACAAAGAATAAGCGTAAACACATATTGCAGGTGCGGTAACATTGCGATAAAGTATCAGTTATTATAGAAGATAATAAAATATTTATGTATAAAAATAATACAGATAACTTTATACAATATTAGTTTACCTTCTTTATATATCTAAAGTAGTTTAGAAAAATAAAGCAGGGTAGGGACTGGCTATGGGTGACCATAGTAAATGAAAAGTGCCAATACTAAATTAATTTAAAACTCCCCTAATTTTTTTTAAACATTGATAATAAGTTGTTTTTCCTGATAAAGCCAATATTAAGCGAAATTAATTGAACGGAAATCAAAAGGATTATTAATTTTTTGTTTCATCATCATCATCTTTGGCTCGACAATCCTCTGTGGATCTTGACCTGCTCTAAGATTCGTCGCCATTCTGTTCGGTTCTTGGCAACATGTTGGCATCTTCTGATTTTTAATATTCGTAAGTCGGTTTCAACTCCATCTAACCACCTAATTCACGGTCGGCCTTTGCTTCTTTTTCCTACAGGTGTTCCTGTGGTTAGCTTTTTAGCAATTGTATTTTCTGGCATTCGTATTATGTGTCCAGCCCATCTAAGTCGCTGTGTTTTAATGAACGTTATGATATCGGGCTCATCAAAGAGCTGATACAATTTAAAATTATATCTTCTGTGCCACTGCCCTTGGTCGTTTACAGCTCCAAAAATTTTGCGAAGTATTTTACGCTCAAATATTCCCAAAAGTCTTTCATCTTTCTGCGTTAGAGTTCATGTTTCTGCTCCATATGTGAGGACCGGCCTCAGCAATGTTTTGTATATAATAATTTTAGTTCTGCTTTGAATGTTTTTTGAGTGGAAATGCTTTTGGAGTCCATAGTATGCCCTATTTGTAAAAATTATTCGTCTTTTGATTTCTTCGCTTGTTTTATTGGTAGCAGTCAATAGCGACCCAAGGTATGTGAAGTTGTCAACACGTCTAAAGGTATGACTTCCAAAGACTGTTTCTCGCTCCTTATTTGCTATCGGATCCTTTGTAACCAACACGTACTTGGTTTTGTCTTCGTTGATGACTAAACCGGCCTGTTTCGCCGCTGTTTCCAATTCTAAGAGATATAGCTCAACATCTCGCTTGCTACGCCCTACTATGTCAATGTCATCAGCATATGCTAAGACTTGTATCGATCTACTGTAAATAGTACCGCCATCCCTAATTCGTGTATCTCGGACTGCCTTTTCTAAGGCAATATTAAATAGGAGGCAAGCCAGAGCATCTCCTTGTCTGAGTCCATCCTTTATCTCAAAGGATCTAGAACTCTCTCCCTGTATTCTAACAGTGGCTTCTAAGTTTGACATTATCATTCTCGTTAGTCGGATAAGTTTCTCTGGTATACCAAACTCATGCATTGATTGGTATAGCACTGTTCTCTTAACACTGTCGTATGCGGCCTTGAAGTCGACGAATAGGTGATGGGTTTCAATCTTGAATTCTAATGTTTTCTTTATTTAATTTTTTGTTTATGTGATTTTAATTTATTGTTTATGAAAACAGAATAATTTTTGTGTTGCAGTACCCATCATTCCAGAGTTCTTGTACGACATCAACCACCCCGAAGCTCCTTTGGGTCCGGTAAGGGCAACCCCTTCGACTACCACAACAACCTTTCCTCCATGTCCTTGTTTGTATAATCAAACGACTACGAGCTATCCAATGACGACAACGTCATCAAACATGGAAAACTGTAAGTATGTGCAAAGTATGATCAAAGTAATTAAACAATTAGCCCTGATATCCGATGCTATATACAGAATTAGAATCACCTTATTGAAATAAATGTTACGCAGTTTTCATCTTATACAGAGTGGACTAAAAGTCTGGAAACGCTTAGTTATCCCTTAAATGGATGATTCAAACTATACAAAAACAGGAATACATCTATTTTGTCATAAGAGGATTTGAAATTGGATTTTTGTAATGTTGCCAGATGTACCATTTTTCTGATATCTTTAATCTCTTTGGTTTTTTAAATACAACACTCTGTACACTCGTATCAATATATTTACAAATCTCCACTTTGATCATATACAATACTATGTAGTCAGGAGCAACTTAAACAGATAAATCAAAAGCCCACAAACACCTAAGTGCCTTAGTATTTTTTTATTTAAATTATGTACAACTAAATTGGAACAGTATCGTACCTTTGGGATTCAAATCAGGTGATTGAGGAGGTCATTCAATACTACCTAATCCAACAATTCATCGTCCGAAAAATGTTTAAATAACGCCGAACATTTACACCAAAATCAGTTGAAGCTATGTCTTTCTGAAACCATAATCTCATTAAAATTTGCTCCAAACTTGTTTAGGCAGGTACAGTTTAATTTCTAAGTAGCATTTTATAATTATTATCGCTTGTCAAATTTCGCCTTCTATAAAAAACGGCCCAATTAACAAAGTACCCACTATACCCGACCATAGATTTTTTAATTTTTGGTGAAAACACCAACATTCGCCATTTATTAAAAAAAACAGCGTAAAGCGTACAGTAACATTTCATGTAAAAAAATAAGTCTTCTTCTTAAGGTTCCATCTTCTAACGAAGGTTGGATATCAACATGGCAATTCTTACTTTACTTACAGCAGCTCTAAATAGTTGGCTAGAGCTCAGACTAAACCATTCCCTTAGATTTCGTAGCCAGGAGGTTCGTCTTCTTCCTACATCTCTTTTACCTTTTATTTTGCCCTCTATAATCAAACGTAGTAGCCCATAACGAGGACCTCTTAATATATGACCGAAATATTCAAGTTTTCGCCTCTTATTTGTCTGTACAATTTCTTCCCTCTTATTAACCCTATCAAGGACTTCAATATTGGTAATTTTGTCTACCCATGCTATTCGTAGCATCCTTCGATAACACCAACGCTCAAAAGCTTCCAATTTCTTAATCTCCAGTTGTTTCAATGTCCATGCCTCAGATCCGTAGAGCAAGGTTGTAAAAATGTAGCAGCTCTTAGGTCTCTACTACACAATAGATGTTTCATTTTTACAAATTTTGCCCTTGCTATTTCTATACGGCTTTTAATCTCTTGCGTTTGTTCTGCGTTTTGACTAACCAATGTTCCTAGATATTTGTATTTATCTACCCTTTCTATCTGGATATTATTAATATGGAGTGTCTCGTTGTCTTTTGGATGTTTTGTAATGACCATGAATTTTGTTTTCTTTAAGTTCATTTTAATACCATATATGGTACACTTTTCATTCAGCCGTTCCAGTATGTTTGATAGACTTTGCAAGAGTTGAAGTGAATATGACAGTATCATCGGCATATCTTATATTATTAATAATTTCACCATTTATTATCATTCCATCGTTACACTCTCCTAAAGCTTCTTGGAAAATGGCTTCGCTATATATATTAAACAGCAGTGGTGATAATACACAGCCCTGTCTCACACCCCGAAGAATTTCTATTTCTTCCGACATTTGATTTTCAATTCTTATTTTGACTTTCTGGTTCCAGTAGAGGTTCGAGATTACTCTGATGTCGCGGCTATCGATGTTTTTCATTTTTAAAATATTAATTAGTTTATTGTGCTGTACCTTGTCAAATGCTTTTTCAAAATCAATAAAACATGTATACATGTCTTGGTTCATATCCAGATTTCTTTGCATGAGCACATTTATACCGAACAATGCTTCCCTGGTTCCCGTGCCGTTTCTAAAGCCTAACTGACTATCACTAATTTCATCATCCAGCTTTCTGTAAATTCTGTTGTGGACTATTCGTAGAAATACTTTCAAAACATGCTCATTAATGCAATTGTACGGTGTTCTGAGCATTCTTTTGCATTTTGCTTTTTGGGAATAATTACGAATGTGGATACTAACCACTCCTTTGGTAAAATACCTGTTTGATAAATATGATCATAAAGTTCTACTAGAATGTCTATCATTTCATCATCGATCAGTTTAAGAAACTCAATCGGGATTTCATCCGGACCTGTGGCCTTTTTCCCTTTTGTCTGTTTTAATGCGTATTGAACTTCCTGTTTTAAAATTTTTGGTCCCGATTCACCAGAGTCCTCATCTATGATTTGTTGTCTGTCATCCCGAATAGTTCTTTTATGTATTCTGTCCATCTGTTTAGTTGTTGTTTTGTATCTGTGAGAATGTTACCATTCGAGTCTTTTATAACATGTATATTATTTTGTTTTCCCGACGTCATTTCCTTCACTTTCCGATGAATATTGAAACTATCATATTTCTTTTCATATTCTTCTATTTCGTGACACTGTTCAGTTAGCCATCTTTCTTTTGCTGTTATTATGTCTTTTCTAATCCTGCTGTTTAAGGATTTGTATTTGCTAGTGTTTATGTTTTTATATTTTCTTCTTTCATTCATGAGAGTTAGTATTTCGTCTGTCATCCACATATGACTTTTCTTTGGTATTGGTCCACGTATTTCTTCTTCCGCTTCTTTTAAAGCTTGTTGAACCTCTCTCCAATTTTCATTTACGTCTTTAGAGTTGGTGTTTTTTGACTTGATGGGTTTAAGATTATCATTGATTTTCTGTCTAAATCTTTGTTCTATCTGAGTATCTTTTAATCTTGTTACATCGAATTCTTTTCTAATCTTTTGTTTTTTAACTTTTTTAATTTTGCTTCCATTTCGACAATAATAGGGACGTGATCCGAGTATATATCGGCACCTGGATAAGTTTTTGCTGATTTTATTGAATTTTTAAACCTATTTCTGATCAAGACAAAGTCTATTTGGTTTCTGACGATGTGTGATTCTCGGTCTGCTGGTGATTTCCACGTGTATAGTCTACGTTTAGGTAGATCAAATAAGGTATTTACTATAACCAGATCTTCATTTTGGCAAAATTCTAAGAGTCTATCTCCAAAAAAATAAGTATAATCTTCATAAAATAAATGGCAATAAAAATCTTTATTATTAATTTTTTTTTTCTCTTTTTAATCAGTTAATAATTTCTATTCCTACAAAATGGTCTAACAATTAATAAAAATAATTGAATTATTCCGCAATATAAACACAAGGGCTAATAGATAATAGACGTTTGTTTTAATTTTTTAGATAATTATTCCACACTAAGTCCAGAGGACGAAGAAAGGAGGTTGAGGCATAAAGATTTGGTGCAAGAGACCGTGCAAGTGGGAATAATGTTTGCCTCGAAGGCATTTGTGCAGTTACTGGCCAATCCTTTCGTTGGACCCTTAACTCACAAGTGAGTGTAAATTATTTGTTTTATTATAAATTAACTGTAGTATTCTAGACAGCTTAGAACTTTAAATAACTTTTTTCTTCAAACGTCAAATAATGATGACATTACTTATCTAACTTGATCCTGTCAAAGTTTGATGTCTCCGCCGGCAGCAGTTTTTTTCCCATTTCTTTACGGCGCGGCGGAGGGAAAAATGTTGTCATGGCAACAATATGAAATATGTCACAAAGCAACAATACAAATGTCATTAACAACAAACATCATTTTTATTTATAGTAATATTAAAAGTACAATTAGTTAATGAGGCATTTTCAAAATTGAAACCGTGCAAAAATGTTCCCGACTCTTGATACGCATTGGTAATTGTAGATGACACTGATGGTCGAGAACAACTTTCAGCAATCATTCCCGATGTTGGCGAATCATGAGGGTTTAAAATTTTTTGAGCATTTCTTATTGAATCCTCTATATATCCTTCTGCAACCGTGCTTAATTTCCAGCCCCCATGTCGTTTGAGGCATTCTAGATTTCCGCCTCCATCAATTAAAAGTGTTGCTGAAGTTCGTCGTAAAGAGTGACCCGTGTATACGCTTGCATCGTTTAAATTTAAATAACTAGCTTTTTTTTGGGCTACTGTGCCGATCGAATGTATTTCCATGACGCTTCGGTAACACTTTCCATTTTGGTACTTGATAAAAAATCGGGTTTCTGTGAAATTTTCAGGCCGCAGTGATGCATACTTTTTATACAGTTTAATGTTGTTTTGATCAATTATCGTAAAAGATCTAATTTGTCGTGTTTTACTGTCTGGGATATTGAAAATTATTACATTTTCTTTATCCTCAATGTCCACAGTCTTCATTTTTACCATTTCGTCGCATCGACAGGCGCCGGTAACCCCAATTAACAAAACAATCTGAAATATTTTTATAATTTAGTAGAGTATACTACATGCTTTGCAATATAATTTTTTTGCCTTTAATCCTAAATACAACTTATCTGGCGCTTCACATAAAAATTTATCAAACTCGTCTTTAGTGAAAACGTTAGACTTCTTTGCAGTATATCCTTCGCTTGTTTTTTTTTCAGAAAGTCACTTAGCTTTAAAAATTTGCTTATATTCACATTTTTTCTAATAACTAACTCGGATTTTATCATAGAATATCGTGACCACATTGTAGAAGATTCCCATTTATTTTCATTTTTCATTATATTAAAATATGCCAGTAAAACGTCTTCGGTAACTTGCCGTACTCCTCTTGTATTGCACCACTCTTGGAAGTGCTTGTACGCTAACCGATACTTTATTCCGGACTTGGAGGGCCCCAAACGTGCTACTGCATCATTAGCCGCGGACTCAATTTCGTTTAGGTTTTCCATTTTCGCACTAAATTTGCGCTTGCGGTTGCAACAACAATAAGCTGTCTTCAATAATTGCAAACAACTGTCAAACAACTGTAACCAGGGAGACGCAAATCCACCGACGACTTAATTATTTTAATTTCTAACATCTAGACGACTTTGATAGTTGTCACAGTTAATTTCGAGTAAAAATAGCGTATGAATTGTACTATTTATGGTTGAAAATTGCTACGTTTAAAGAAAAAATAGTATATTTTATTTGGCAAAGAAGCGACTTTTCTTGACTTGCCCTCTATTACGCGCCTCACTTCGTTCGGCGCGTAATATCGGGCGCGTCAAGAAAAGTCATGCTTCTTCGCCTCATAAAGTAATATACTATTTTACTAGAAAAAGTAATGCAACAAACTAAAAACGGTTATAATAGATAGCACCTAGTGATAAAGAGACGCTGTAGCATCTGTGATGTTTATGATCAAAATTTGTAATAAAATACTATACATTAGTTTTAATAAAACTATTTTTATTTTTAGAATTGGCTACAGTATTCCCATGTTTGCAGGATTCGTAATAATGTTTTTGTCTACAATAAGTAAGTACTTTTATAATTTTATGATAAAAGTAGAAAACATGTGTATAAAAAATAAATTTCCCTTTTTTTATATATTTTTGTTTTTATAGTATACTTAGTATGGATATAAGACAATATCTATTAGATTTTCAAGTGTGTATTCAAATCTCACAATTCTTAGAATAGAATGTCATTATATCATAAAAAGTACTCAAATAATTAAAAAACTACTTATCAATAATCTACAAGACATTACAACAGAATTAAATATGTTTTTCAATATTTTAAAATAAGCGAGCTCCAAAAATCTTTTGCATCACATCCATAGATGAAAAGTCAACGTAATTTCTGACATACTTTTTGAGATTCAATGTTTTAGAATGATGTACCTAAAATCTATAACTGTAACATAACAATGTGACTTTAACAATTTAATCAGAAATCTAAAAATGTAATATCAGAAAAGGTAATGTGCTTAAAGCAACAAAGTAATATTATGCCTTGTCGACCAGAAACATCTTGTACAGTTGACTTAAGAAGTCACTTCACTTCAGTCAAGAAGAAGAACTTGATTAGGCTGATTTTTTCTGTTTGATCAAAATGATCTCTCGCCAGTGCATCTTCATCATCATCTTGGTGCTACAGTCCTTAGAGGGCCTCGGCCTTCTCAAGCTTTCTACGCCATTCTGTTCTGTCTCTTGCTTGCATTTTCCAGTTGCCGATTCCGATCTTCTCGGCATCTTATGTTACCCCGTCCATCCACCAAAGTTTTGGTCTAACCCGTCTTTTCACTCCCACTTATTGCGCTGTTAGAATCTTTTTTGTCATGTTAGATTCAGGGGCCCGGGCTACATGTTCTGTCCAGTTCAGGCAGTTTCGCTTAATTATACTGGTAATATCTTTACCACCAAACGTATACTTGTAGATATTCTGCAGTTCAAAGTTATATCTACGCCCCCATATTCCGTTCTCACAGTCCACTCCGATTATCTTGCGTAGCACCTTTCTTTCAAAAATCGATAGAGCGGATTCATCTGTTTTAATTAGCGTCCATGCCACTGATCCATATGTGGGAACGGTGACTATCAGTGTTCTATACAGCCCATCGAGCAATAAGACAAAAGAGGAAATCTAATCCTTATGAAAAGGAGACCAAAAAAGTGGCCTCTGATGGCGGACATATCCGGAAATGCGAATGCGCCAAATTTAAATTTTCCGACACTTATCAACAGTAGATATATAATATTTTTCAGAATGTGTCTTAGACGAGAAAGTTTTAATTAATTATAAATGATAAGAGTCTAAAATGCGACACAATTAATAAAAAACTTCAATATAAATAAGATTTCATGTGACATTTGGGACAAACAATAACATAACCCAACTAAATTTGATGTCAAACAAGGAGAGAGACTCTCTTTCCTTGTTTAATGTGGCCTCTAAAGATCGCACTTCCTGTCTAACAATATGTTTGCCGCCACTACCTTTACATTCCCTCTATTGTCTTTTTGCTCGATGATACAGCCCTATATGAGTTTTATGAGACAAACGTTTGTTAGCTAAGCACTTTGATAGACCCTGATAAAACCTGTTTGCAATTATCATTTGCCTTGGTATTTCCTCAAATGCGTTATTATTGGGGTTAACCGATGTCCCTAGATATATGAACTCTTTGACTGCTTTGAAGTTTTGGTCATTGATGATTAAATCTGCGTCAATCTGCGTAATTTGCTCTTGTGTTTGTGTTAGTCGCCATGAATTTGGTTTCATTTTCATTTATATGTAACCCTATTCGTTCTGCTGCTGCTACTAGCTCGGTTAGGATTTTCGCAGTTCTTGCCCTGGTTCTTGTTATAATGTCCACATCTGCATATGCTAGAATTTGAACTGATCTATTAAATATTGTTCCTTTGTTATCTAAATTAGCGACTCGTACAACTTTTTCTAAGGCGCCATTAAAAAGCTGACACGCCAGCGTATCTCCCTGCCCTAACCCCCTATGTATTTCAAATGGGGTTAACGAGTCGTTTTGAATTTTTACTGCTGATAGCATCTTCACCATTCTTACTTTTATCAAACATATGAGTTTTTTTAAAATTCCTAACTCATTCATAGCTTTGAAAAGACTTGGTCTTAAGACACTGTCATATGCCGCTTTAAAATCGACAAAACTATAATACATATCTATGTATTATAAATGCGCTCTTTCGAGGATCTGTCGTCGTGTAAAGATCTGCTTAATGGTTGAACGTCCACGCCTGAATCCTACCTGATATTCTCCCAGCAACGTTTCGGTATAAGGCTTCAGTCTCTCGTGCAAAATGTTTGACAATATCTTGTATGCTGTATTTAGATGAGTTATTCCGCGGTAATTATTGCATTCCAGTTGGTTTTTCTTTTTGTGTAACGGGCAAATTAAGCCTAAGCTCCATTCTTCAGGCATTTGCTCCTCAGCAAATATCTCTGCTAGGATGCCATCGCTGCCTGGGGATTTATGGAACCCCACCGAGTGGGGTTCCACGGATCTTTCATTTCGGTATTTTAGCTCTATATTGTTAGTAGGTTCCCCTTCCAGCAACTCTCGGAAGTGCTCTACACATCCTAGCAGGATATCCTCTTTGTTGGTAAGTAAGTTACCTTTACTATCATTACAATAGTTAATTCCCGGTTTAAATTCTTTTCTAATAATATTTATTTGATGATAGAACTTTCTTGTTTCTCCATGACTCATATGGTTTTCGAGCCGTTCTAATATGTCATTTTTCGAGTGTCGTTTCTTTTTTTGGTATATGCGTTCTCTCTCCTTAAGTTTTTGTATCTATCTATTGTTGTCCTAGTTTTCCTTTGTTGCATGGTACTAAATGCCTCGTTTTTCTCATCTGTTATTTTTTTGCAGTCTTGGTCGAAACAGTTGTTTCTTTCTTGGGTTCGAGTTGTTTCAATGTGCTTTCGGCTGCTAATTTCAGAGCCTCCTTGCAGTTGTTCCACATTTCCGTGCTTGACTGGTTGACTGCCCAGGTGTGTTCTAGGGTTTTTTATATGTGACTGGAACTGTTTCTCTTTATTTCTATTTTTTAGCATATGTAAATTATATTTTACTTGTCTAGTGTCCCTTTCTTTCTTGGCATTGAAAATTTTTGTCGTAAATTGGCCCCTACCATGAAATAGTCTGAGTCAATATTTGCGCCTCTGTAAATGCTGACGTCCATTAGGTTTGTAAAGTGCCTTTTGTCAATTATAACATGGTCAATTTGATTTCTGGTGTGTCCATTAGGTGATATCCAAGCTGCTTTATGAATATTCTTATGATTAAAATATGTACTTCCCACAATTAAATCTTTGGAAGCTGCCATACTAATAAGCTTTAAACCATTGTCATTAGTAATGTCGTGAAGGCTTTGTTAACCAATATAATCTTGGTAGCATATCTCTTTTCCTCTATGTGCGTTCATATCTCCAATGATTATTTTAATATTGTTTTTTGGCACAGTTATCATATGCTCTTATGAAGATAACTGCATCTTAGCGGTTTGCAAGGGGTTTATGGTCTATACCTGCCTAGGGATGTAGGTAGGCCAGCATTAAGTTTATCAATATCTCGGAGACTTTTTTAAAATCCCTAGTTTTATGGCGGTGATGAGTTTGTACTCTGTACGAGGGTATATATGCTAATTGGTGATGAGTTTTAGTGTACCCGTATATTTTTTGTGTGACTTGGTATACTTACTTCTTTGTTTTCATCGTCTTATTTAACAAGTATTTGTGATATATACGTATTTACTTTGTTTAATTTATAATATAATCTCATTGCTTTATAATGTTGTTTTATTTTTTCTTCTTTTTTACTGTGTTTGCCTGTTTGTAACGGCTAGCTCACCCATTGCACATTGAAACCCCTCAGGGGTGATATTCGGCATAAACTAACTTAATTTGAGAAATCGGGAATTATTAATAAAATAATTTCTTTAAGACATATCTTTATTTATTTATATTTTAATAAATCAAAATGTAATAACAATTAAATTTAGGTTCTAACAACAGGGAATTAAGCATCTATATACAAAATCTCAAGAAATAAAGAAACTTAGCTCTACTCTATGAGAAATCCTCCTGCTGTTCTCTACTCAACTCGGACCATACAATGTCTGCAAAAATCATGCCGCTAAGCCGAAACCATGTAGATCCCTCTCCAATCCCAAGCCATGCGGATTTTCAAAATCGAGATGGATTTCTTATTCCAAAAAAAAAAAATCCATTTTCGTATTCTTCGACCCAAAAAATCCATGTCAACGTAAATTTTCTTATATCATAATCAAGGTGGATTTTCTTGAATAAAAATCAAGGTGGATTCTCTTGAATAAAAACCAAGGTGGCTAGAAAAACAAAAACTGCTACAAAATTCGTCATGGCACGAGTTTTGTGCCATGACGAATTCTAGCAACAGAAGAATTCTAGCAAGCGGAAAGCTCTTCTCTCTAGAGACCTGTACACCGATCCAGAATTCTCTGATGTTGCCAAAACTCACAAATTAATAATTGTAATTAATAGATAAATTATTAAATGAAAAATGAAAAAGACAAAGTTGTGCGATAAATACGATTTATATTGAATTATTATTATTACAGCAAAGGTAAAAAGAAAATGAAAATTGTAAGCAGTTTTTAAGTACTAGAGTACACAAAATTATACGAAAAACTAAAAGTGTTCTTGATTAAAGTATGAAAATATGTTGTTGTAAATAGAGCAAAGCATTACCTTACTCAGACCGTTGGAAGTTTCTGACCACGAGGACTTATTTTTTTAATAAGACCTTCTCGTTTGCTGGTTTATTTCAAAAAGAAATTAAATCGGATCGGATTAATCGAAGTAAATTATTTAGGAGTGGGGTTTCTGTTTCTTGTACAATAAAGTAAGCGAAGGTAGGACTACAAGGGGACTTAAAAAATTAATCAGCGGATTTATTTGTAATAGGAAAATATTGAAATAAAATATAGGAATACAAACAAAGGAAAAAGAACTTA